CACAGTAAGGAACGGATGATGAGGTAATCATTTGAGAAATATAGGAAAAAGGGGAACGGATTGATTCATTAAATACACTTGTTCCACTAACTCAATCTCTCTGACCACTTTGCAGGAAACATTGAAAAGAGGATTCTGAAAAGCGGAAAGAAACGTGCGCTGTAACATCCCGGGCACTGACAAGGCCGGGGAGTGATCGCCGGTGCGAAAGGGAATGGACAAGGAGTGGCTCCTAGCAGGCTTCCAGCGACGGGGGTACATGAATGAATCGAATCAACATCCGAAAGAGATGAATTCTAGAGACTGTGCTGGTATGGGACAGTACAGTTGGGAATATCTTATAAGAATTAATTGGTACTATCTATACTAACAAGATGCATCTACTTTTCGGTAGCCCGGAATGGAAGAACTCCATAGTTAAGCATGCTTGACTAGGAGCAATTCTGGGATGGGTGACCTCTTGGGAATTTTTCCCGGGAAGTGTGCGAGTGAGGACAAAGCATGCTGAAAAGTCTCGTGTCAGTGTGTGGGGACAGTTATTGATCCTTTCAAGTTGTCGGGCGTTACATGCGCAGCAGAGAATAAAGAGTTACCATTGGGCAAGAGGAAAAGTAAGCCTGGGAGTGCAGAAGGAAAGGAAAATCTCAACAAAAAGTGTCTCATCCAGCAACTTGCCTCTCAAAAGAGCACTGTTCATACTGCCCCTTCCATGCAGTCAAGAAAACAACTCAAATGAAATTACAAGGTTTGCCATCCACTTTTCTAACCTATAAATAGGATGTTCCAACAAGAAGAAAGCATTGAATTCCTTAAGAAGTGATCACTTAGTTTCAGTTTTAGTTTCTACTTTTCAGTTGTATAGTTTTTAGCAATAGTTAAGTGACAGCAACCCTTCCTCTATTCTATACCTTCCATTTGAGACTCCTCACGAGCAACCTCCATACTTCTCCATTTTATTTTCTTGTAACCTAATATTGTTTATTAATATAAGTTGTTATTTCTTTTCTCTTCCAATCGTTATCTCTGAACTGAATCTCGGATCTATGGGACTTCAGTTTGGAATAATTATGTTTATAGTAATAGCCATGGACTAAGTTATTTGTGGAACGAAAAAGCTGTGAAGTTCTTAAAGAACTATATTCAAAACTTTTGCACTGAAGCTTTTGTATTTCTGTGATTTAAGTGTGCTTTATTTTTTGTGTATCAATGGAAATTGAACTCAACTGATAAAGGAACTTTCATAAGGAAGGGATTTCAGACAACTTAATCAGAGGAGGAAGGTAGTGTTGTGAAAACAACACTACTGGTTTCCTTAGGAATAAGGAACCACCTCGTTCACTGAAGGTTCTGAACTTAGTAACTGTTGAAGTCAAGGGAGCCATAAGAATATGGAAACTTGTGAGCCATTAAAGTCCATGAGCTGAGGAATCAGAGTTGGCAGTGAAAAGACCTGAACAAATTCAGAAGGGTTAAGTCTTAGGTTGAGAATATAGTCATTTAAGAATGGAACAGTGGATTCGTTCCTTATGTTAAAAATTGTTTTTTATCCATCCATCTTGTTGTCTCTTAAATATTGTTATCTTGTAGTTATTTTCTTTCATAAATCTTGTGACTATAAAACCAAAACTCCAATGAATATTGTCGTTCCTTCTCACATCAAGAAGGATTTGATATATAACGACGCGAGGAGTTGTTTGAAGTTAGACTGAACTTACTATCTTTGAGAAACTCTTTCAAGATAGTAGGAAACGAATGACAAAATAGTTCAAATACTATCTTTTTTGTTTCATTTTAATTCTTTGTAAAACATTTCAATGTATTATTTAGAGTTCTATCCTCGTGAGAACGATAATCTGGGCATTAATAATCTCATTTATTGCTTGATGCGTGCACTTGCGCACTTGGATTGAAATCAAGAGAACGAATGTGTTTCCTCTTGATGAACTAAAGAAAGAGAACGTCCTTAAAAGAACATCTAAGCAACCAACAAGTTCACACCCAACAGTTCACAATAGACATATTGTTATCTTAATCTTGATTGGGGTAGAGCATCAATTCTTGCATGATCTAGACATAGGCTTGTAGGAATTGCGAACTTTGTAATTCATCGCGCTTAATGCTTAATCTGAAAGGAGTTTCTAAGACATTAGGATTTCAATTGGGTTAAAGAGTTAAAGAACTAAGACATTAGGATTTAACCAATTAACTATTAGATGATGAATTATTTGAATCAATTGACATGAAATATTAATAAATTAATTAATCCACTTAGGAGTATCTGAGGTGAAATAAACCCTGACTATAGTTTTATTATTGATTTTCAAAACCAATTTTAATTACGTGAACTTGTCTTTGCAATTACTTATTATTTAACATTTATTTTCCTTTGTTACTTTTCATTGATCTTATATCAATTTAAATATTACTTTTCTCAAATTCATCTTGATATGCCTAAATTAAGGGGAATAATAAAAATAATGATTGATATATCTAATCCTAGTAGATACGATACTCTACTCATTTTTTTTTATTACTTTTGCGATTGATATACTTGTCGAGAGAGCAACACCAATCCACGACCTATGCTTGCTAAGTTTCTTTTTTGTTTTCGTTGTTAAGATTTTTTATTAATCCATGAAAAAATAATTTTTTTCATAAAACATTTTTTTTATTTCATCAAAATTAATCAATACAATTAATTATATTTAGTCGATTCGCAAATATTATTTTTTGACAATCCAAATTAATTAGTAAATGTTGTAATCTAGACTCTTTTATGTCTTTGAATGGTTATTATAATAATCCAAATAATTAAATTGGATAATTAAGAATTGATCAATGATTAAAATATGTGAATTAGATGAAAATTTTAATTTTTCAGATTAAGTCAATTTTTGGGTAAAATTTTGAGCTAAAAATAAAAATATGCAAAAGTTAATTGAAACTTGAGAATGATGTAGGGAAAAATTATTTTATGATGTTTGTGAGTCAAAAACACAAGTTAGAATTGTTAAGTTATGATAGAATTGTTAAGTTATGGAATAGAAAAGAAATATGAAGGAAGGGTAAATGAGTCTTATGGTAAAGTGATTTTTGACCCAAAGTCAAACCTTGATTAATATATTTGATCACTTCATTTTCTCTTCCAAACTTCATCATGATCGAGCTCCCTTTTTCCTCCATAACCGACTTGGACATTTTTAAGAGCTTAAAAACTCATTTGAGCAAGAATCATGGAAATCAGTAAGTTACTCCATGAAAGTTGTTTAGATTTACACTAGGAATAAAACCCACCACTTGTTTTCCATTGAGAAGCCTTGTAGAGGAAGAAAACCTCTTCCAAAGTTTGGGAAGCATTTTGGTTCTTGGTGTTTGACGAGTGATACAACTCTTTGCATCATTCTAAGGAGCTTCATGGTAAGGAAATTCAACTTTCTCTAAGTTTATATGAAGTTCTATGAAAAATAGATTTTTGAGAAATATGACTTGTTGGGAATACATGGTTTGGATGTATTTTGATGGTAGTTCCTATGTTTATTGATGATGTAGTGAGGAGCTAAGTAACATCTTGGTGGAAGAACATCAATTGGAGTTTTCTCTTGATTGAGACCTAGTTTCTTGAAAGTTTTAAGAAGGGGTAAGTTACTAAATTTGGATTCTTGGTGAAATGGTAATTATTAACTTGATAATTGATATGTAAAATGTAATATTGATCACACTCATGTCTTTTAAATAGATAGTATTGGTGTGAGAGATTGTAATTGGTTTCTTGGGATTGAAAAAAGTGTTAAAAAAAAAATTACAAGAGGTAAACTTCATTTGAATCATTTCGTTACCTTCCCTTCCCCTAATTTCTTTCTATTTCTTTCCTTTCCAAATACATAGTTTGATATGGAGTCATTTAAGAATTAGAGTAAATATCCTTTTTCTCCTTAGCAAATTTTACAATACCTGCTTTAGTCCCTAAAAAATAAAAAAGTCTATCGTGATCCCTAAGAAATTCAAAATAGACCCATTTTAGTCTTTTTGAAGGACTAATATGGGTTATTTTTTGAATTTGTGAGGGATCACGATTTCAACTAAATGGGTCCATTTTGAAATTCTTAGGGACCACGGTAGGCCTTTTTATTTGTTAGGGACTAAAGCGAGTATCGTAAAATTTGCTGAGGATCAAAAATAATATTTACTCTAAGAATTAAGTTCGTTTCATTTAGACAACTACGTATTAAATACATACTAATTCCATAAACCTCGTGCTTTTTGCCTTATTTTTTAAATTATAACAATTATTATTATTATTATTATTATTATAACGAAAATTTATTGTCCCAATTTACATGAAATAAATATGTCATGTTACTCTCACCTAAAATATTGTGCTACTATTTTTTTTATTTTTTTTAATAGATGGTGGGTCTCACCACTTCATTATTTTATGTGTTTGTAGTAGGAGATACTTATCTTTAATAACAGAGAAAAATAAAACCGTATTATTATTATTTTATGAGAAAAGTGTTTGTCATTTTAAATGAGAGAAAGTTATGTCATTTTAAATGACAGAAAGTTATGTCATTTTAAGAGAGATACAGACACAGAAAATTTGAATTTTAAATTAAAAAAAATCACTCACTTTCTCTCTCCCATGATTTCCGTTTTTCTGTGTCTATCTATCTCCTAAAATGATATAACTTATGTCATTTAAAATGACAAACACCAAACCCTTATTTTATATTAATTATTGGTATCATAATATAATACTCAATCTTCATCATATAACTTATCACCGTCAGATCACCGTCCACGTGTCCATATTGTCCCACAATTACCAAGAGAGTCTCGGTGTGAAAAGGACGCGGATAATGCATGTCCATGTTTATCTCTATCAACTCACACTTTTTTTTTTTTTATTTAGTACAGATCAACTCACACTTTATACATGATGAAATTGAAGTAAAAGACACAGCAAAGGAACAAATCAAACCAGTTTCGTTAAGGCACAAATGCAAACCACGTTATCCTCTGAATCCGATGGCCGGGACCCAGAGTTCCGTTCACCGCTCCTTCCGCCGGAGAAGCTCTGCATCGACGAGATGCTGCAGAAGTATTGCGGGGAGTTCGGGCGGTGGCAGCTGAAGCACTTCGTCCTCACGAGCCTCGCGTGGGCCTTGGAAGCATTTCACACCATGGTTATGATATTCGCGGACCGTGAACCGAAGTGGAGGTGCCTCGACAGTGCCGTCGGTTTGGGCTGCGACCCAGCCGCGAAGAGCGTGTGCCGGTTCGAACCGGGTTCGTGGGAGTGGGTCGGAGAAACGGCATCCTCAACGGTCTATGAGTGGGGTTTGGTTTGTGGTGACAAGTTTAAGGTTGGGCTGGTTCAGGCCGTGTTCTTCGGTGGCTGTATGATCGGTTAGTTTTCTCTTTCCTCGTTTACTGTTTCTCTATTGAGTTTAATAACATGCATTTTGTGTCGTTTAATAATTTCCAAACTGCGCAAATTTTTTTTTTTTGAATACAGCAATTTTTTTAATACATACCAAATTCATAACAGTGGCCAAAATGCCACTGTTCATTAAATTCTTAGCCAAATATCACATGAACAGTATTATTTCTCAATATGTCATGCAGGCAAATTCGCTAAAGTGCCCAACGAACTTGGTAGCCAATAATTTTCGTTACACGTGACATATTTTCGCAGGAAAAGTTGACTGCCACATATCCAAGCGAACTTGGTAGCCAATAATTTCGTGACACGTGGCACACTTTTGCAGGAAAAGCCGACTGGACGAAGTTCGCTACCAGGGTAGCGAACTTGGTGCTTTACGTGGCACGAACTCATTGCCCGATTAGAATTAATGTACGAATCACAATAAAAAAAAAAGAAAACAAAGGAAAATGGCTATTTAATTAGTGTACCAATCAAAATTAATGTATTAATCACCAATCACAATTGCCATACTAATGCGATTAACTTTTGATTGTATTAATCATAATTAATGTATAAATCAGCAATCACTTCGGAGGGCCATAACTTTTAATTCGGATATCAAAATCATATATTTTTTATTTTGTTTCTCATAATTTTTCGAGATCTACTCAATGACACCTCATTTGTCATATTTTATCTCTCACAGACATCGTTGAAATTTGTAACAATAGTATCCCAAACAATTAATGTACCGATCAACAATCACAATTAATGTACCAATCAAAATTAATTGTGATTGATACTTTAATTGTGATCAAAATTAATTGTGAATGATGATTAATACATTAATTGTGATTGGTGATTGGTACATTAATTGTGATTGGTGATTGGTACATTAATTATAATTAATACATTAATCATAATTAATTGTCATTTTTCTTCGTTTTCTGTTTTTTATTGTAATTAGAACATTAATTCTGATCGGGAAAATTGTGCCACATGGCACACCAAGTTCGCTACTCCTGGTAGCGAACTTCGTCCAATCAGCTTTTTCCTGCAAAATTGTGCCACGAGTCACGAAATCATTGGCTACCAAGTTCGCTATCAGTCGTAGCTAACTTGGACACGTGGCAGTCAACTTTTTCTGCGAAAATATGTCACATGTAACAAAATTATTGGCTACCAACATCGCTGGGCACTGTAACGAACTTGCCCGCGTGATATATTAAGAAATAATACAATTCATGTGACATTTGGATAAAAAACTTAATAAACAGTACATTTTGGTCACTGTCTCTACCAAATTGCGCATTTTGATGAACAATAAATAAGGTATAAGCTGAGTGAGGGAAAATTTTGTGACGTTCATGTGTTTGGCCGGCATTTGGCAATGTAAAAAGAACTTCCTCAATAAATTAGGAAAAAGTTAGGTGAAGATCCTGCATGTGAAGAATAAAATTTATCTTTGATGTGAAGTTTAAATCTTATATTTCAAAATGATAAAATAATTATGAAAAAAATATGTGTCATTTTAAATAATACACCTAATATCATTTTACTCTCACAAAAAGACGAGACCTATATCTTTAAAAAAAATTCCTTCACTTTCTCTAGACTCTTCCATGGTTTATCTTTTTATCTCACATGACTTAACTTTGTGTCTTTTAAAATAATACACACTTTTTCCAACAATAATATATATTATGTAGTATATATATAGAGAAATGTTTTTCTCAACTTACATAAATTTTTTTATCTCATGTCAGAAACACATCGCAATTCGAACCAGCATTTTTTTTTTTTTTTTTTCTTTTAACCGTGGGACCCACTTAATTATGTCTCTACATGAAATAATACTATCTCATGTAGCATGAGAAAAGCATTGCCCATATATATAAAGTACTCTATCATAAAATAATAGAATTTAAATTTTATGTATGTCCAGTCTAAAAAAATTTATTCTATTATTTTAAAGTTGTTGCGCTGGTGGGAGTAGGAGATCTTTAAGTTCAAAGAAGTGGATGAAAAATTTTTGCTCAATGAATGTAGGATCTGCGTCATCTATTCAATGCTTTAGCTTACATTAAATAGCTCATGCAAGGCCAGAAAATATCAGAGGTTGTACTGGAAAGAAAAATTAGAAATGAAATAGTTTCGCTTTCACCGTCTTTGTTTTGGCTACGTGGACAGCATGCATGAAAACCAAAATGGATATAATTTTCAAATACGAAGCCCAAATGTGTAAAAGCAATTTAGGGATGTGGATAACTTCTTATTTATGTTATATGTTACATTGTAACATACGTATATAAAACCATTCAACATATATCCTTTAATAATTTGAAGTCATGAGTTTAATTCTCACTATTTTTACTTTTTAATGGAATTTAGTCGGACAAGATAGTATATTAATTGTTTCTACATCTATTTTCTTAGCAAGTTTTTCAATGTGTTAAGAGAGATTTGTTTAACAACATGGACTCATCTAATTGTATCAACATCTATTTTCTTCGCAATTGTTTCATATTTCACATGTTATAATTCAACTGTGCTTATACTAATTCATATGCATCACTTGAAAATCGATTCCCCTACATGACATTGAAATTTCAGGAGCTGGAATATTCGGTCACCTCTCAGACTCATTTCTAGGAAGGAAAGGCTCTCTAACAGTGGTTTGCATCCTAAACACCATCTTTGGAATCTTAACATCACTCTCTCCGAACTACTGGTCCTACTTCATCCTCCGCCTACTCACCGGCTGCAGCACCGGCGGCGTCGGCCTATGCGCCTTCGTCCTTGCCACCGAGCCTGTGGGCCCCGCGATGCGCGGTGCCGCCGGCATGTCCACCTTCTACTTCTTCTCTACAGGAATTGCACTCCTCTCAGGTATAGCCTACATCTTCCCAACATGGCGCAGCCTCTACATTGCATCTTCCATACCCTCACTTCTCTTCATTCTCACCATCCTTCCCTTCATCTCCGAGTCCCCAAGATGGTACCTCGTTAGAGGAAGAATCAAAGAAGCCATGAAAATCATGTCAACCATTGCCACCTCAAACGGTAACCACCTACCACAAGGGGTTCTTCTAACCCTAGATGAAGAACCATCGACATCATCATTGTCGCCATCATCATCATCAAGTGAAACATCATGTCATGACAAAGATTCAAAGCCAGTGACAGGTACTCTAGTTGACGTGATTCGCTCACCAATAACGCGTACACGTTTGGTTCTAGCTGTAGTAATAAACTTCTTATGCTCTGTGGTGTACTATGGCCTAAGCCTAAACGTGGTTAACCTCGAAACAAACCTTCACCTAAACGTGATACTAAATGCGGTAGCAGAGATGCCGGCATATATGATAACGGCGATGTTGTTGGACAGGTTAGGGAGGAAGCCGTTAACTATAGGGACATTGTGGTTCAGTGCGTTGTTCTGTTTCATTGGGAGTTTGATAAGGAATGTTGGAGTTTGGAAAGGGGTGAGAATGGTGTGTGGCATTTTGGGGATTTTTGGGATGGCGGGGACTTATAATTTGTTGTTTATTTATACGGCGGAGCTGTTCCCGACGGTGGTGAGAAACGCCGCGCTTGGTTGCGCCACGCAGGCGGCGCAGATGGGTGCTATATTGGCGCCGGTTATTGTCGTTTTGGGTGGATGGTGGCCGTTTATAGTGTTTGCTTTGTGTGGATTTGTTGGTGGGTTGTTTGCGTTTTACCTCCCTGAGACGTTAAATCAACCCCTCTATGATACTTTAACGGGAATGGAGGCCGGCCAATGTGAAAACTCCTCCACAACTGTGTGATGGTGCTCGTTTTTTTTTTTTTCCTTCTTCTTTTTTTTTGTTAATGATATTTTAATTTAATTACTTTGGTTTTTGATTTTGGTAGTGTAATTTTTTTTTTAACAATATCATTTATTATATGTTATTATCTATATCCACCCTTTTCTTCATTCTATCTGTTTATCTTTTGTTTTGTTATTTGTTATCTATATTATTGTAATACTTACTTTGGTTATTTTTAAAATTTAAATTTAATTCATTAAAAAACATAAAAAAAAAAGAATATAAAAAGTTCAAATGAATAGTTATCATTTAAGAAAAAATAGAACTTTACTTATCCAGGGTTACTGCTTCAAAATTACGTGACCAATTACAAAATAAAAAGAAGAAGAAGAATAATCACTTATGATTATTTTGTAATTATTAACTCTTTAGATGAATACAAACTAGTTTATGGTCCGTGTGATGTACCAAGAAAAAAAAATCGGTTTATTTGTCTCGTAAAAATTAACGTGAATTTTAAAAAAAAAATTATAAATAAAATTTTTTTGGACACAATTATTAAAGAAATAATTAAAAGATAAAATAGATAGGGGATTTTCAACTTAATGTTGAATGGTGTCTATAATAGACTTTAAGAATGTTACATTAGTGACTCCAAAAATTTGCAATAATAAATACCTTGGAAGATATTTCAGGGGCATCTGTCTCAGTTTCTCAATCGCTCCTCGATTTGCAAAAGATGAAGAATCAACCATTGAAAGAAGGTTCAGGAAAAAAAAAAGAATATCAAAAAGTTTCAAAACATAATCAGGATTGAGAGACTAACATGTAGTTTACAAAAATAATAGTAATAATAATAAACTTCCTTATACATATAGATTAGAAGAAGTCGGTTGAAGTGTAGACACATGAATAATAAAAAAATTAATGACAAACATGGTCTTACAATACCATTTTTCAAAATCAGAACAAACGGAATACAGACATTTCTTACAGGACTTGTACCACCAGTTGTATTTCGATTCAATCGACTTTATGGTTCCAAAAGTAATGCATGTCGTAACCTGATATATGAATAATAAAAACATAAGAACACAAAAAACATAATCTAATAAAGATATAGGAAAGCATTCATCAATTAAAAAAATATACCTACCTACAATTTTTAATATCACTGATAAACTTCCTTTTCATATCTTTCAGAAAATCATTTTCAAAAGAATATGAGGATTGGATGGACAACTGAGTCAACCTCAGAATATTTTCCACCGAATCAGATGAAAGTCTAAAATGTAATTATATAACAGAGAATATAATCAGGGCATATACGAAAATAAATTCTTTTGAAAAGATACATCCAGCTATATTAAATTACATGTTCTTAATAGTATATACGACATTTTTTAAAGTTCATAATCTATGGTACATTTGAATCAAAAAGAATCTTAGTGGTGTATTTTGTATTTGTTATACCCATTTTACCTATACATTCAAAAAACCAAATATAGTAAGATATAGAAAAAAAAAACACAGTATAACAGAGAAGTTGAACAATATATATTTGCATATATTTAATCGAGTCAACCGATTCAATCGGTGACTCACCGGTTGGATCATTGACCCAATAGCTCATTTCCTCGGCCGAGTCAATGTCCTGGTTGGTTCTGATAACAATAGTTGGGACGACCATGCAACTGGTAGCATTTGGAGAAATCATGATTGGGTTTACTATAGCGAGAGCAAATAACACGAGGAGGTGGTGGCTTGTTCGAACAATATACCTGATAGCATCAACAGGGTCATCGTAGGATCAAGCTATAGATTTGCAAGTTTCTTCTTATCTTATCATGGAGTAACCTGTTACGTACACAATATTAGTTAGTCTAGTTGATATGTTGGAAGTTTAGTATGTGTTTGAAATGTATTCGGTACCTATAGTTGTCGTTTTCTTTAATTCTTTCTCTGTTAGGAACTTCATTCCTAATAATTGGTGCTTTCATTGAGAAAACTACACCAATCTTTTTGTTCCAATCATTCAGTTTTGTTTACGGAAGCAGAGCATGGAAGGGGTCACCATGAAAGTGCAAGAGAAATTTTCCAGCATGAATTTCAAAGAGCTTTTATCACTCGTCAAGGAGTAGGTACAACAAATCTTGGTTACTTTGCATTCAATGCAGGTTCAAACCAGAAATTATGATGTTCTCACAGAACAAGGTTGCGCTTCTATTCTTAGACATCACAACGAAAAAATAGAGCATCGCGTCTCAACCATGTATCATATCCAAGGTTTCTCTTCTCAACCATCCATTCAGCCCTCTCAAGAACCATTTTCGCAGGTACACGTTTAGGAGCGATTTGGTATAACAGGTTCGTGTAACACCCCGTATATATCCGGTACGTTATTGTAGCAGCCCGTGTATACCCGGAATATTAACATTACATCGTATTAAGCGGTGCTTAATTAAAAATGCGGAATATTCTTTTTCTTTTCAATTATGACGTCATTATCAATTACCAACTTCATTACTTAATCAATTTCATAAAATATCGCCTGTATGCAAATTGCAATAAGACATCTACTGAAATACCTCAATATATAGATAAAGTGTGTATCTAAATCACAGCATTACATCAAGTGATCCGGACAATATCCTGGTACATTATTACAACTCCAAAAGACTCAAGATATAAACAAGACATGACAATACTATGTGTCATGGACAATCCCCATGCTCACCAAATAAACATAGTAACCAACGAGTCTCAACATAAAACTCCAATACATAAACTGAAGCTATAATCATAAAAGCAGCATACAAATCCAGCATCCAATCATGGCAGCATAATATAACAGCAATCTAACTCAGCTCCGGCCTCCTGCCGCCTGAGGTCTCAACATTACCTGACCCTGAAATAAGCATTCCCCAAACGTGGGGTGAGATCTCTAAACTAGAAATCTCAGTAAGACAAGGGGTCCTCAAGGATCTTCCACCCCAAGCTCACTTACATGTGCAATATAAGTTCAAAAAGCATTTATATCATTATCAGTTCCAAAACTATGTAGTGCAACAGATATCTATGGCATGTGTGTAATCACTATCTACTGGCCAGAGAAATTTAGGAATACGTCTATTCCCTACATGTAGTACAAGGAACACCGCTTGCACCTCACCCACAGCCTCACCCTCTTGTATGTTCTACATACTCAGGCTTACCGTATAGGTGGAACACCTCCATGCATATCAACAAGGCACTAACATATAATAGCTCAACAGCATTTCCAAAACATCAAAAGCATGTAACACAGCATGCATATACCATATCCCGATGGGACATGGTGGAACCACAACATGGCTAAACCGAGGACACGAAAGCTTACCTCTAAGCTAGCTATCCAATGCCACAAGCTCAAAGTCCAATCACAGCAGATCACAATATGATATGGACCAAATATAAATCAGTAAACATGTACCACATGCATACAATTTAAAGACAACGCCTTTTCATTATGTTTTCAAGTCTTAAAGCTTCTAACAAAGCCACAAGCCCTTAATCCCATGATTCTGGCTTAGTCCATTAAATACAGAAGTTCAACTTCATCAATCTAGGGTCTACAAACCCCCAATAGCCTACTGTATGCACATCACAACTACTGTTCTACGAAATCCCAGAATATCTAGATATTCCTCGGGACCATATCCGGATATTCAATATCCGGATATCTCACTGTATATATCCGGATATGCAATATCCGGATATCCAGAATCCCATATCCGAATATACAATATCCAGATATCCCAAAACCCCATATCCGAATACACATATTCGGATATCATATCCGGATATCCAATATCCGGATATTCCACGGGCAGATATCCGGATATTTCACGACAGAATGCAATTTTTGCCTTTTCGTGAAGATATCCCAAAAAGGTTCCCTTTTACCGATTTTAAACACCTAATCATGCATTTCTAGGCGTGTTCAACATTACCCAACCACAAGTTATCATCTTTTAACCTTAACATGCATCAAGCTTCCATTTTTAAGCCTTAAAACTCAAGTTAAAGGTTGGTACAACATACCAAGGCTCAAAACTCAGAATGGAGGTGCTCTTGGAGCTCAACACAGCCCCTCAAGTCTGACTCAAGGAAGATGCACGAAAATGAACAAGAAGGTAGGTCTTTCACTCAACAAGAAAGCATCTTGGAGCATCAAAATACCAACAAAAGGTCACACCCCTCAAGAACAGCAAACACAGCTCTTCAAACTCCCTCACACAAGTTCTCTAACTCAGAAACAGCACCCCAATGCAGTCCCAAGACCAACCTTCACCCTCACCAAGTGTTTGAATGGAAGAACAAGCCTCAAAGGTGAAAGCTTGCTCATGAAATGGAAGGGAAGGCAATGGAACAGTGTATAAGGTGCAAGTCAGCCACCAAGTCACGTAGACAATTCTGAGTGCCTAGGGTTATGTGCTAAAATGCATATATATAATCAAAACTCACTTAAGCGCACAGTATTAACTTTAATTGCTACGCTTAGCATCTTAATCCCAAACTTGGATTATGAAACTACATAATTTTCTAAGATTTATCATATTTTTCTTATATTTTTCTGAGCACCTTTTCGGTACGCGCTATTCAAAGCCAGTACCGGTTTCTAGCACCAGTTCTCATTATTTGGACTTGAAACTCGTTTTACAAGTCCTACATATTATTCTAGTAATTATCATGCACTTACTTTAATTTTCTGGGATACTTTTTCGGAACGCATTTATACCGACTAGCAGAACCGGTATCTGCATTTTTCTTCCGAAAAGCGACTTTCAGCATTCTCAATCACTTATTATGATTATTAAGCCTCATAAATAATTATTAGGTTCAATTATGGAATCATTTCCTATTTTCACATAATTAATTAATTAAATACTTTAATTAACGGTGCGGGTTCTTACAGTTATCATGTCATCCTATTAAGACACGCTTAATTTAAAAATGCGGAATATCTTTTTCTTTTC